CGGGTGCACCGTGGTCACCCACCTGCAAACGGTCAGAGAGATGGGTGCACTGCGGTCACCTACCCGCAAACGGTCAGAGAGACAGGTGCACCGCGGACACCCACCTGCAAACAGTCAGAGAGACGGGTGCACCGCGGTCACCCACCCACAAATGGGTCAGGGAGACGGGTGCACCGCGGTCACCCACCCGCAAACGGTCAGAGAGACGGGTGCACCGTCAGAAACGGGTGCACCGCGGTCACCCACCTGCAAACGGTCAGAGAGACGGGTGCACCGCGGTCACCAGCCTGCAAACGGTCAGAGAGACGGGTGCACCGCGGTCACCAGCCTGCAAACGGTCAGAGAGACGGGTGCACCGCGGTCACCCGCCTGCAAACGGTCAGGGAGACGGGTGCACCGCGGTCACCCACCTGCAAACGGTCAGGGAGACGGGTGCACCGCGGTCACCCGCCTGCAAACGGTCAGGGAGACGGGTGCACCGCGGTCACCCACCCGCAAACGGTCAGGGAGATGGGTGCACCGCGGTCACCAGCCTGCAGACCTTCCATCAGAACTCTCGCAGGGACAACGGCCTCCTCCCAGGGACCCAGTGACCGAGCATCTTAGCACAGCTGCAGACCGTCACCGCCTCCACCTCAAACCAACACTCACACACGCCAGCAAAACCACAACTAACAACTGTCCTGCCATTTCTCTCCTCTCCTCTTCCTCCTCCTTCCCCTTCCCCTTCCCCTCCCCCTCCCCCTTCTCCTCCCCCTTCTCCTTCTCTTCTCCTCTCTCTTCTTATTTCTTCTCTTTTCCTTCCCTTTCCTTTCTTTTCACCACCTGGAGCGGAACTCACCACTTACGTATAGACACGGGAAAGCCATGGAAGAAAGACCTTTTATACTTTTTCTTTCTCATCTTCTCTTCCATTATTTTCACCACCTAGAGCAGAACTTAGTGGACACACGTGGAAGCGATCGAAGAACCACTTTCTTGCTTGCTTTTCCTTTCTCCTTCCTTCCCTCCCTCCTTTTCCTTCCTTC